AAGTACCTCGTTCGCCATTGATTTCTTCGGTCCCCCAAGTCTAAGAAGGTGAGTAAACTGCGAGTCGCTTCTGCGAGATCTATATCAAGCTCACCTGTCTGATGATCCAGGTGGTGCCGCTTTTCGCAGTGTCACTCTCGGATGTTGAAGCCCAATAAACGTTGAAACCCAATAACAATGGGAGCCCATCGGGCCTCGAAGGTCAAGCCAACTTGGCAGACAGGAAAATACGGGATCTGTTCTGAGCATCACGTGTAAGGTCCGCGACTTTTGATGGCCTGCACCGAAAAGTGTTCTGGTTATTTGAAATAAAATAAATATTGAGCCTCTAAGAGGCTACCACTCCGGGAAAGCGTGTCATCCTTGTGCAGGGGCCATGCTAATTGGCGAAGCGTTGGGAGACAATGGAGTGAAGAAGGTGAGGAGCTGGGCCTCTGTGACGCTGTGGGATAACATCAAGAAAAACTGTGTCGCATCAGCGTCTGGGAATGGTATATGCAGGAAGAACAACTTGCAGTCGTTGACACGTTAACACGGACGACTGGCCAAGAAAAGTTCAAGAAAGATACTTATGAATCATGTGACATCACAATTCATGGCTTTGACAATTTAACGAGTGATGAAAAAAATTAGCCTTGGAGCCATAAATTTGACCTCGTTGTACGATGTGAAATCATGTGCAAGTATAGAAAAAAATTAGTGGCCAAAAGTTTGACCTCGTTGTACGAGGTGAAATCACATGATCCTTCCCAGCACATGATTTTTCGAAACTTTCCTGACAAGTCAATTGTGGCATACTCTCTCCGAGAGGTGTCTTGTGCCTCTGGGACTGCCTGTCATTTGCAAGAAGGCCTCCTTTGTACTTCTCTGTATCGTTCCAATGTTTACGTAAGTCACCCCGAAGGGGACGTAAGTTGTACTGGCTTCTTCCGTGATTGAGATAACGAGAATCCAGAGGTTACGAGTCCCCATTTATGGGGCTCGTTTGTTGGATATGAGCGAATTTCAGGAGGCGATCATCAGGGAGCCCAAAGGGGATATCATCCACGTCATCGTTGACGCACGTTCGATCACTTGGTCATCATAGCCTCGTCCACAGGATGCTCTTTACAAGTCCACGTGAGTGGCTCATTTTGTTGGGTGTGAGCAAGTTTGTTGAAATGCCATCAAAGTCCCCAAAGGGGATAATTACATACATGCGCGCAGCCTTCGCTGGTTTCGGGGTTCGGGCCTCGGGGCTAATGATTCTCGGCCGATATCCGGTGACATGTGATACTAAGTTCACGTGCTGTTAAATTTGCCGCATGCGTGACTGGCCTACTTTTGTTTTGGAGATTGACTCCCACAAGCTTCCGTCTCGTCTCAACCTTTGTTTAGTGCACTGTTTACAAATTCTTAGTGACATTGTATAAAACCAAGAGGGATCAGATTTGACTCCATTCTCATTATATCTGGCGCAATAGGCTTTTCCAGATTTTATCACTGGCACTGCTCTGCCAAAGTTTTCATATTCTTGGGATGTTGAACATACATGAAGCTGGCTAGACAGATAGAGAGCTTAGCCTCAGAGTGGGCAGGGCTTCTCTGAGCACCAATTTCATTACAGGAGACACCTATTGGCTCAAAAAAAAAATTGTTCTGTTGCATGAATCCAGTCAAATGGCTGTATTTTTGGAGAGTTGATGGTTAATTTTTGTCATTGCAGGCCCAGTACAAATATTCGGCTGCTCATAGCTCTGCAGAACAGCTCAAAAATTGGGTGCATTTAAGTATTATTCTTGTGCATCTATTGCCCAATAATTTTGGAAGCTTTTTCTCTGTCTCTCAGCACATTGAGGATTGGACACCATGTATGGTCTGTTCAGGTCAGGTTATGGAGGTTAATTGCAATGGGAATCCTCTTTTTGGGTGCAATATCCAAGTAGAAGTGAAGAACAGTAGATGCCACAGGCCCAGAAAAATGAGGCAAGCTTGGGAGTCAAACCTTTGACTCAATAGCACAATAGAAGTTGAAAGGCAGCTGAGTTAACATGTATACTGAGCAGCTCTGTTAAACCACTCCACCTTACCCAACTTGAATAAATCTGACTTTCCATGAACATAACACTTGAGCCTGTAGTTACAGTGTCTTGTAGTAACCACATGGAATGGCACCTGCTTTACAATACAGGACCAAGTACAGTTGTGAGTGAGAACAGGAGAGGGGGACTCGTATCTGCCACCAGAATGGTTGGCCTCTATCCCACTGGTTCTACGGATGGGATCGAGACGAAATATCTGAAAGTTGATGTGAAAGCTGGAGATGAACAGTTCCTCAAAGCCAGAATACTTGGAACATCGCACCTTCCAAATCCTCAATGAGTCTCCTCTCGATTCCCTCCATGAAAGCTTTCACCAGCTGATTCCTAGCAGACAGCCAACAAGTACCAATTCCTGAGACAGGTCCAAGCCAGCTTGAGGGCAACTCAGGGTATGGATACTGAGGGGAGAAAAATTCTGTCATTCAGGCGGAAGACCCGTGGTAATGCCATTACATTTCTGTATCACTCCAATGTTTGCGGATAAAAACGATGTCCGACCTCCGTGTCGCTGCAATGGGCTATATTTATTTGTGGAAAGTTGCCTAAGTGGACTAGTGCGACAGCGGCGGACAAGTACCGTACTGTAACGTGGCGTCACTTCCCAAATTGGACAACTCGCACGTGATTGTTGTTTCGTGTCAAGATGGGTCGCTCTTTCACCTCCAGATCCACCATCAAGACCGTCTCGCTGCTCAATCATATGAAAGGACATTCAGATGGAAAGTGTCTCTTGAACTAGGAAGATGCTCAGCAAGGTCACTAAAACATTGCGACGTGTTTTCCGAAATGTTCTACCGCAGTGAGTGCTTCCTCTTCGTTTTGTTGACTAGTCTCCCTGCTATGTAGCAATACGACTGTGCGACCGGGCGAACGAGCGACACGAAAGGAGCAAAGAGAGAAGGAAGTCGACAAACGGAGGGAAACGAGCAAGGAGAAGGAAACGACAGAGCGAGAGAAGGAGAAACGAAAGGAGAGGGAGCAGCGACAAGAAGGGAGAAGGAGATGAAGACGGAGAAAGGAGACAGCCAACGAGAGACGGGGGAGGAAGGATCGATGAGAGAAGAGAAATGAGCGAACAGGGAAGGAGTGTAAGAAGAAGGAGCGACGAAGCAAACGAGTGAACCGGAAAGCAGTGGAAGAAGTAGATGCAACAACAAGTGAAATGAAACGAAATAAACCATTACAACATGGAGGAGAGACAAGGAAAGAAGTGAAGAAGAAGCGACGAAGCGACCAACAAACCAACGCATCCAGACAACCCAAGATTATGGCTAGACGGCGTTGACACAAAGGCGATATAGAACGACAAAGGCGCCATGAAACGAAAACAACAGAATACGTACCAACACCGAAAACAACCCAACGGAAAAAAAGGAAAAAGAAAACGATGGATCAGCTCAAACCCTGTTCTGAAAAAGATTGCACGCACCATAAAACAAAATCGGCGTCCCATCCTCCGTAACCTGACCCGTCGTGAGGGGGCCTGGGCCCTCCTAATACTCCTGGACCGACTCCTGGCCCTCTCATTATACGACGGCGCCTGTCCGTACGAGGGTTGGCTTTGATTGCCATAACTAGTCGCCTGACTCTGGGCCTGACTATGACTCGAGTACCCCGAACCCTGCTGCGAATGTCCATACCCAGTCTCCACCACCTTGTTGATTAGAATACCCTTGTCCTCCTCCGGTCGCCGAGTACTGTGGCGCCGCTTGTCCTTGTCCCCCTGAATATCCCGTCGGCGCCACAGGAATCGCATAACTCGGCTGAGGACCCGGCGCCGGCGAAACGCTCCGGTTCGAGTATCTTTGCTGATAGGCCTGCGCCGGCGTCAATGCCGACGATGCTGGAGTCGATGAATAATTGGACGCCGGTGTCGAGTAAGAAGAGGCCGGTGTCGAATATGACGCCGGAGCAGGCGTATAAGTCACCGCAGGCTGTGCTCGATAGCTTCCCGGACTCGTATATCCTTGGACCGGAGCAGGAGGCGCCGCATAGCCCGGCGCTGGGGGGACTTGGAAGCCTGTTATGCTGCTTAATTAGGCACAAAAATACCCCGGTCAAAGAGATTGCATCTGCCACCGTACAGATGTCTTTTTTCTACAACTTTGCCTGTTGAGCTAGGAGAAGATTGGAAGCCGGCAGATGCAGGAGCCTGGAAGCCAGCAGAATACAACGCCGGCGGCGGCGGAGGTGGTGGTTGCATTGTAGACGTTGGACGACGGATCACCTGGGATTCGGTCAGTGAAGGAACAACAGAAGAGCATTGGGAAACTGACCATCGTCATAGATAAGACCATGCTCGAGAGTATCGGAAGTCCAGCCATTCTTCAAGTATTTCTCGTCGATGTCGGTCGGCCTGACGCCCCAAACAAAGGATTATCCTTACTATGCTCCTGGCCGTCTAGACGATGTTCCTCGGAGACTCCAGGAATACCCTATGTATTTCAAGCTGTAGAACATTTTGAAATATACCGAAATACTGACCCCAGACAGAGTTTGATCGACGCGGATGTGCTCAATTCCAGCATCGTCTTTGAAATGTTTGATTGATAATGTGCCGTTTGCCATCTGAATGGCCTAATATGCGATAGGCAAGGCAGTAAACAATCAGAGGAAGCACTTGCCTTGCGCTTCATCCAGCCCACGCCCTGCAGGCCGAGGATGGTATCTGTCTTTTCAAAGTCACTCAGAGACTTATTCATAGTGAATGACCCTGAAATATTGAGGATGGTAAACTCGGCAGGGACATTCATGATGGTAGTAGGATGTCAGTGAAATACCAGGCTGGGGATTATGATATACTCTTTATACTTCGCGCTCGGCCGCGAGAGAGACCCTCGTACCTAAAATGCCTACAAGCTGTTCTTGACCTGAGGCTAGAGGCAATACGTTAGAAGGTGCCGTAAACGCGCTTCCATCGGGCACATGGTGTAGTTGGTTATCACACCCGCTTAGCATGGAACAGTCTAACCTCCTCCTCTGCGGGAGGTGTTGAGTTCGATCCTCAATGTGTCCATTTTTTGGCCTCCTACACGAAATCAACAAGCTTTTCTCCGACCCCATTTTCGATGAAACCGAGTCGACAATTTCATCGTGACTCCAATCCTGTTTAATCCAGCAAATCATCCTGAAACCTATTCTGCGCTGCCAGTACACTCCGATCTAAGCACATCTCAAGACTCCCTGAATTTGCATATCACCCCTCCGATGCCCATCTTCAGCACCGCGACCCCAGTTGAATTTGTCTCTATGCCATGTTCGGTGCAGTCCGAATCTCTGCCATCCGAAACCAAGCAAATCAGTCAGCATAAATTATCATCATTCGAATAGTAAAGACTCACGGATACACGGTACATTTGCGAAACCTCGGACCCTCTTTCGGCACGTCAATCATTGCCTTGTACATCTATTCGGATTTACCCAGTCTCGGCGGCGGGTGGCAAAAATCCATGTTCGGAGTGACGAAAAACGTGAAGTTGGTTGCTTCTGTCCAAAAACATCTTCCGCGGTATTTAGTGCCGTTGATTGGGACTTCTATATGTAGCGGTTCCCTGATATTCAGCTGGCGTGGGGTCAGTATCGGCAATTGTCGTGGTTTAATAGCACGAACATCGATGAGTGTAGCGAAGACGACCCTCGAAAACAGGATGGTGTGAGAGAGAGAACAAGGCCAGCTGGTTTCATGATCGCCACGATCATATTTGACAGAATAGACACCGAAAATAGCTACCGAAGCCAAAAGGACAAGGAAGAGTCATCGAAAATATGTGTTTCATGCTAACACACATCTGACATAATCTCAACTAACCCCAACGCCATCCTTCATTCTATGCAACTAAGAAATCGCGTCATTCGACACAATTGATGCGTGGGACATGATACGCGTTGAGAGCACGTGATGGAATTGTTCGTGTGCGCCCTGACTCTGACATCGGTGTGGATACGAATGAATTTAATGACAGAGAGAAGATATGTCATCGATTGTCCTAAGCTACAAAATGATCGGTGTTTGAGCGTTTCAGAGGCCTCCTGATTCCATCAAAGATACGAATACAATAAAAAAGAGTACAACTCATTCTTCAATCAACTAGTCGTAAGGACCCTCCAGTAGCGTGGGGGAGTTTGTGGCCAACCGTTGATACTGGCGTCGTGGTTTCCGTGTGGAGTGCCTGGTGAGTCGCTCTCCCCTGGAAGTGGATCATGCTCACTCATCCTGAAACCACCGTCAATGATGATGCCAGAGTACCAAGTGTGGCACTCACCTGATATTCCTCAACAGGTTGTAACGGGTCGTCGCTTCATGACCACAATAGTAGCACCTTTCATCTATTCGAGCGAATAAGTCACCTTCGTCACAGAGAGGAAGAGATTGAAGTAGACTAAGTACAGCACTGACCATTATCCCCGCGAGGCCCCACCCGCGGTTCATACATATGGTCTGGAACACGATGCTGCAAATCTGGAGCACGGTCCAGGTCATAAGGATATCCTAGATATCTTGGACTCATCGGCCCACCATAAGCGGGAATCGGCGGAGCATGACTTGGACTCCTCGGAGCATACTCTCCCATCCTTATCTCAGCTTCAGTCATCGGAGCCGGCGTTCCAGCCAAGCTCATCGGCGTGTTCTCATTGATTGGCCCATATCGACAATCGGGTGAGGTCTGTTCCCATTTTGTCAGTTTTATATTGTGGTCGAGGATGATATGAGGACGATAGGGCAAACTTACTGGAAAGTGTGATGTTCCTGGCATCAAATGGGAAGGTCCTATTAGATCTGCGAAGGGATTACTAGGGGACCTCATTCCACAATTGATTGGAAATTGCTGTGGCCAATTTCCAGGAGAAATTGGGCCACCTGGAATGTTGTAGCTGTAGGATTGGCCTTGAATTTCCAGAGCCCAGGGACTTCCAGCTCCGACATCTTCCCATAGATCTTTGGCGTCTGGACCTCCCCATGGACTACTGCCACTGTATTGATAGGGGCCACTCATCTGAACTGGATCAGCAACAAAACAAGTTCTTGAATAGTATCCTTACGTTTGATTGTGATATCAAGAACTTGAAGGACAGTGCTATGTGGTTTCAGTGGGTAAGAGTTCAAGAGAGCATCAGGTTGTCGTCGTCAATTATACACTACGTTTCACAGCCACCCTGATCCAACCATGACAGAGTTTGATCGGGTCTGACTAGGTCTGACTAGGTGTGACCAGGTACCTAATCCGACCTAGTCACACTTGATCAGACTCCATCTAAGGTGTGATGATGGCAGTGCTCTTGTTATAGAATCACAATACACGGTGCCAGGTGGCAAATGACGATCGGTTAAAGAACAATGAATTGTGGCGAAAAGAAGTATACATTGTGGCGAGACACAACACGGTCTCGCAAGAGATGTCAACAAAATATTGCGGCCACCGGTCCAAATTATCGGGGCGAGCGCGCGTGCGGCAACGTAGAACAAGGCTGTGACTTGCCGGAAAAGGATATTCTAGTCTTTATTGCGAGCGTAGCAAAGAATTCTTCCAGACTCCTTCCCTAAAACGTAAAAGTCTCCAACAAACAAGGACAAATTCTGCGCAGCACAGATTGTTGCAAAAAAGAAATCGTCTACCAAGCGCTCAATTCTCCATGTTCCTCTTTGAAATCTGACAGATGGTATTGGATAGGATTATACCTCATAACCTGAACATTTCAGGGCTTAGGAGGGCCCATAGAGTGCGCTAGATATCAGGTGGCAGACAACTGTCACGTGTCAGAACAATAGCTGCTGACGAAAGAGATCTGACTGCGCAGCTCGCATCTTCGCGGGGCCGACGCAAATGTATTTTCGTATTCATCTGATTAGCAATACCTGCTTTACCCGTCTGTGTTTTGCGCCGGTATCCGAGCTATGGTAGTGGCGACAAATGTAATGCTTTTCCGGACATTTTCCCCACCATTTTTCATCCGATATTTTTGTTCCCGACGCAGTCTGAAGTAGTCCGGTTACGGTTACCGACTCTCTATGGCGGGGAGGGGAGGAACTCTCGATAGAGAAGACGCCTCCTCAAATTATCAGAGCATGATTGAGGACGCGGCAACTGCTCCACGAATTGACCAGTCCTTGGAATTCTCTGGATACTGACTGCGCCACACAATGGAACACGAGTCGTTGTGGCAGTGTTAAGTAAAGATTGAAAATGGTTTGTAATATTCCTCTTGAAGGACGCGAGCTGTGCCCGTTCTATTCAGCTCTTTCCTTCGTCTCCAGCTTCTTTTTCAGCTCTGCGCCCCTCCCAGCGATATACTTGAGATTCTCTCTTGGAATGGTGATTCCAAAGTATTCCTCGAGGGCAGCTGCTCTTTCCTCCTCAGTGTTCATGACTCTGAGAACCTCTGTATGTGTATCGAGATGCCGTTTGAGGGTGTTGCCCGCCATGGCAAACTTACCCAAGTGTCGCGTCAGCGGGGTCAGACCTTGATGACTTGATTGATCGATATCCCGATGATTCATATCGTCGATCGCGCGATGCTCCTCGTCACTGGCCCAGAAATACTTGGCGCAAACTACATTATCCCAAAACAACCCAGTTCTGAGACCCACGACGCTGTAATTAAAGCTCATAAAGTCGTTCGGGAAGAATTCATCCTCGATGAAGGAATACATCACCCGGGATGTTTCAATCTCCGATTGAAGTTGAGCCTTGTCCTTATGGAAAGATTCTAGACGCCACTCCAATGGCACTAGTTCCTTTGTCGCCGACTCTAATAAGGAAACAAGTGAATTAGTCCGCCATGAACAATCTAGAACATACTGATATCACAAACCAAGACTCGAATCGGCTCTCGCCGTCCTCCGGAGAATGTGGCGCTCAGACGGCGATGCGCCCATGACACTCTCGTCTTGTTGCAGAAGAATAGGACGAGCAGGACCACCACTGACATCAACCAGATATGTCTTGTTACTCGGTCCATCCTTCAGATCTGGCTGGACGAACAGAATCATGTGCACGAAGGCATGGAATATGGGCGCTACACCCGCTGGTTGTTCGTTGATCCTTCCGGAACTGGTGTAGACTCTGATTGAGAAATATCGGGTCACGTAATGGCATTGATTGAGATTAGGATGTACATACCTGAAACCTAGACCTTTGAGCATTTGGCAGAACAGTCCATTGAGGCCGAAACAATAGGATCCGTTGCCTTTGGATTTAACCATTCGAACGTAGAGTCCTTCGTAAGAGATATCCATATCATGTTCGGGTGTGCTGAGGATCGGTCAACATTTTGTAGAATCTGATATCCAGGTTACAGTAAGGATAACATGTCCACAGTAATGATAGAGAGACGTCGGACTGAAGATCCAGAGAAATACTTACTAATGCATCGGCGTATTCTCAAATGGAAAAGCAGTCAGGCTCAAACGCATCAGCAGGTCCAGATTCTCCAAGGAAGGAAAGAACGAGGAGATGAAAGCGGCATCTCGCGCTTCAGAGCCTTCGGTACCGGCAGAATCACTCTCACATCCAGGATACCCGATTCGCGCAAGCCAATTGATGATTTGAGAAGGGGAATACACTGATTCTGTTTTCTTGATCCACAGTCCCCCGTGTATGAGGCCTTTGACCGCTGGGACGACGTAAGATGAAGTTTTGGGCAAGACGAAGAATGTGGGAGTGACCGAGGACATGGAAGTCGATGACAAGTTCACATCAGTCACGCGTGATTGGTCAGGTTATAAGGTCCGGCATTAACGGGTACTGAAGGTTCAAGCGCCGTCAGATGGTTGAATCCCGCGTTCTGATCGCCGAGCCTGCCAATAATCTCAATAATAATATCGAAAAGAGATCTTGGGAACCAGTGATCGTGAACTGTCGACGCTGCAAGAACTATCATACAGACATATCTCGTCTCTTAGTGTTTAAAGCCGATTCAACCTGACTCACGTTCTGGAATAAAGATAACTAACTTGGTAGCTTGGGTGGCGAGGGGTGGCGCCAGTTTCACAACCAGGGTAACAATCAGCGCTTTGTT